ATACACATTACCTTCTCTCTAGGTTCTTGACTACTCACCTGGCTCTGGTGGTATATCTGTAGGGTATTGCTTACAACCTCTGTAGAATGGGGAGCACTGGTCACTAAACCAAATGTTCCGGCAGACTGGAAAGGTTTTACTCTCCCTCCCTCTCTCCTGTGTGTGCTTGTATTTACGTAAATCCAACTACTGCATCTCTTTAAACTGCTTCATCCAACCACATCTTCATGAAATTTTCATGTTAAACATGCAGAGTGGCAGATCTACGTGCTGCTTCTAGGGTTGTTTTTAGCATCAGCCGTCTTGTTTTACATATTTTTTGAGAACTCTGATTCCTTCTGGAACTTTCCGCTCGGAAAAGATCAGCCAGCGAGACCGAGGTTTAAACCATTCCTGGGAGAGCACCAGTCTTCTGATGATCAAAATGGTTTTGGTCCTTTTGGACCAGTAGATATGTGAGGATGCTCTTTCATTTATTCATTCATCAATGGCTTTTAAAGGAGCATCTATTGCTGTATAATGGCCTCAGCATTCGTCCTCATTTAGGACCTGTAGATTTAGGCAGTTTAGCCAGTCACACGTCATTACTTGATAGTTTATAATTCAAGTGAACTTCATTCTTAATTATGTTTTCTTGTAGTATTTGCGTTTCTTAATTACTTTGTTCAGTCAGTATTACAGTCAGAGGTTATTCTGATTAGCGAGTTTCACTTTCATTGTATTTTGTACTCTTGTTGGCCTTTCTGGAAGTGGGTTTATCTGTTGGGAGACATTGATCTTCTATGCTGTATGTGCTAAATAGTTCCTGAAATAACTTCATTGTCTGGGTCACCAGCAGAAGTTTTTTCAACTTAAAATCTATTTGACGCTTTTATTGAAGATTAGATGGGTAATTGTTCTGTCGTACGCTGTTTTGCCTCATTTCCTCTTATTCCCTTTTTATTTTTGTCACGGCCTCATCTAATATTTGCATGTTTTGAGGCCCTAGTTGGAATCACATGTGAATCATCTATAAACACATTTCACGTTAGTTTAGACAATTCTTTTTATATACTTATCTCGTATTTTGTAAATCATGATTGAAAAATTATTTATAAGCTATTCTAAATAAGTCCTAAACTTGATGGTTTTTGATTCAAGATTCCTGCTAAACCATAAGAATTGTGAATTACTCCTTCAGTCCTTAATATATGAATCAATTGTTGAGTTGGTTTTTGTCCTAAATATAAGATCTATTTATCATATTTATCAATTTTTTCTAAATTATCCCCATGGATACTTTCTCAACCATAATCAAGTAGAACAGGAAGATGGGTATTAAGAAAGATGATTATGGTATTTTAAGAGAAACGTATTACATTTTTTATAATTAACTAACTTTTTTAATTTAATCAAATTAGTTAAATAAATCTTATATTAAGGATTGGAGGAGTATTAACCATTTTGATTTGACGAACTTTTTGATTCGACGTCGAATTTGACTTATGGGAGATAAGATCTAACAATGACTTTCATAAACTTATTTTCTCATGTACTAAGTATTTTTCTACTGGGAACCTGAATTGAGGTGATATTTTGGATGCTATAAAACAAAGATAGATGAATTAAAAAAAAAAAAGATGAAATATAAAATGGCCTAAACACCCTTGCTCGACGTAGTAGTGGGAAAAGAAAGCTCACTCCCTCCTTGAAAGCCCAAGGAATCTAACGTGATGTCTAGTCTTGGGGTCCATGCTCCATGCAATGCACATGAGCACATCTGATTTATACTATTCGGTCATTTTATAATATTTGGCCCTATAAAAAGACGGATTTTCTTTTGGAAAAATGACAATAAAATACCACTTGAATTCTAAAAAGACAGATAAGGGACCTGAATAAGCAAAATGACAAATAAGGCACTGGGTACCAATCTGGAATTCATATTTTCGGCCAAAAGACCAAAATGCCCTGATGAATGCGGGAAGACCGAAAGCTGAAAGTGAGAGAAAGGAGAGAGGAAGACCGACGCAGTGAGAGAAAGAAGAGAGGAAGACCGACGCTGATGAAATGCGGGAAGAAGGAAAGAAGAATGTTGGAAATGCTATTATCTTACTCCTTCGCATCACCATTCTGTAGAGATTGTTGATTTTGGTTGTGGGAAAGAGGATTTGTAGTGAGAGAGGGAGTGAACCGAAGCGGAAATCAGCAAGCAATTACGTAACGTAACTGCTGTCATATGCCTGCTGGTTTTTGGTAAATCCCATTACGTGAATGGTAAATTTCACTATACATGTAGTTAATTATGAATTTTACAAAATACATATTGTGATTTACAACTTTTGTAGTGAAAGTGACTACTTTGTTAATGGGTTTTGCAACTTGTTTTCAGGAGATAAACAACTCGTTTGTAAAAACTAATAAAATTTCACGCTAAATTTGACAAAACGTATAGTGGGATTTACAACTTCCGTAGTAAAAATGACCACTTATTCAATGGGTTTTGTAACTTGTTTTCAGGGGATGGGCAGCTTGTTTCTAAAAACTAATAAAATTTCCTACTAAATTTGACAAAACACATAGTGAGATTTACAACTTTTGTAGTGAAAATTACCACTTCTTAAATGAGTTTTGCAACCTCTTTTCAAGGAATTGGCAACTTGTTTCTAAAAACCAATAAAATTCCATGCTGAATTTTACAAAACACACAGTGATATTTACAACTTTTGTAGTGAAAATTACTACTTCTTAAATGAGTTTTGCAATCTCTTTTCAGGGGATGAGCAACTTGTTTCTAAAAACCAATAAAATTCCATGCTGAATTTTACAAAACACACAGTGATATTTACAACTTTTGTAGTGAAAATTACCACTTCTTAAATGAGTTTTGCAACCTCTTTTCAGGGATGAGCAACTTGTTTCTAAAAATCAATAAAATTTGACGCTGAATTTTACAAAACACAGTGATATTTACAACTTTTATAGTGAAAATGACCACTTCTTAAATGAGTTTTGCAACCTCTTTTCAGGGGATGAGCAACTTGTTTCTAAAAATCAATAAAATTTGATGCTGAATTTTACAAAACACACAGTGATATTTACAACTTTTATAGTAAAAATGACCACTTCTTAAATGGCTTTTGCAACCAGTTAATTCAACGTGACTACAAAAGTTGTCACTTTTATTAGTTTTTACAAACAAGTTGTTTATCTCCTGAAAATAGGTTGCAAAACCCATTAACAAAGTAGTCACTTTCACTACAAAAGTTGTAAATCACAATATGTATTTTGTAAAATTCATAATTAACTACATGTATAGTGAAATTTACCATTCACGTAATGGGATTTACCAAAAACCAGCAAGCATATGACAACAGTTACGTTACGTAATTGCTTGCTGATTTCTGCTTCGGTTCACTCCCTCTCTCACTACAAATCCTCTTTCCCACAACCAAAACCCACCAAATCAACAATTTCTACAGAATGGTGATGCTAAGGATTTAGTTTCGTCAACTGGAGGGGGTTCGGTTTCGTGGAGTGGAGGGATTGGTTTCATCGAGTAGAGGAATTCGGTTTCACTGAGGGGAGGGATTAGTTTCACTAAGTAGATGGATTGGTTTCGCCAAGTGGGGGCAGTTTCTCTTTCGCCGAGTGAGGGGAATTGCTTTCGCTGGGAGGAGGCGAACACAATAAGGGCAATTCAGTCTTTAGGCCAAAAATCAAAATTCCAAATTGGTACCTGATGCCTTCTTTGTCATTTTGCTTATTCAGGTCCCTTATATGTCTTTTTGGAATTCAAGTGGTATTTTAGTGTCATTTTCCCTTTTCTTTTCTTTCCCTTTTTTTTGAAGGGGGGGATTTGTACGTGTTTTTGTCCACGATCCCACCGGCAACCCCCCCCCAAAAAATATTTTTTATTAGCCATGTGAGATACTCACTTAACGGAAGGGGCTATGATGATATTGTGTTTTTTAATCACTAAATCTAGCTTTTTGACTGTTTCCTTAGTCACTACTTAAACCTAAATCTAATTTGACCACTTGATCCCCACGCTCATCTTATTTACCATGATTTATTGAATCTCGAGCCCAATCTCGCTTTATCAACTCCTTATTAGTCCACCGGCTTTTGGAGTCCCAATAATTATATATTTATTAAATTATACCTTATTGAATCATTGTTGATTTACTCAAATTATTTTAACCAAGTATACATTTTTTTTTGGCCAAAACCAAGTATACATATGAAATTAGCAAAACACTAGAAAAAGAAATATAATATGCTATATTTTCTTAATCCTATTTATAAGTCACTTTTAATATATTTATTAGAGTTAATAAAATTATTAAACTTTATTAATTCTTCTTTAGAATTTAAGTATCAATTTTTTTCCAGTAACATGTCAATTTCATGCATATTTAATATATGTACTTTTGTACCCCTTCCGTCCCTTATTATAAGATATTTTTCACTAAATTACGCGGTTTAAGAAAACAATAAAATTAATTAAAAACAATTAATATGTGGCAAATGCAATTTTTTTCCAAATATTTCCTTATATATAAATGGATAAATATAAAAGAGTAATAATGAGATAAATGAAGAAAGAAAATATATTAAATACATTAAATTAGGGTAAAATAAGTAATAATGCATTGCATGTTTAAACAAACTCAAAAAGGATCTTTTAAAAAGGGACAAACCTATTCAAAAAATTAGATTTTATAATAAAAAACGGAGTAATATAACCAGGAAAAAATGCATATACATGGAGGAACCACTTCAGTTTGTAATTATAAATGAGTTCTTATAATTATGATAAGAGTTAATATATATGCATATATGTGTGTACTTTTGTGAAAAGCATTTAAAAACCATATATAAGCTCTTTCCCTTAATGAACATACGCACTTCACGGTACGTGGCATATTTGAAGAAGAATCTTTTGAAAGGCCCTCCTCTTTCCTCCTCCCCCGTCCCTGTCACAATCAGGCCAGAGCTTATTTCAGAAAAATATCTCCCCGAATAGAAGGTTTTACGTCAGAGTCTCAGACCAAAAGAATAAAGAAACGCCTGAGGTGGAGCGCGCAAACACAAGCCTCTTCCACTTATCCTCTCCGCTGACATTTGTTCAGCGAATTTCTCATTTGTGGATCATGAACTGTATTCGGCATCTTCCCTTGTGCGTCTTTCTCGATTTTGTCGTGGAGATAATTTTTAGCATAGTATACAGCTATAAATATTGAATTTGACCCGTGATTTCCCGTTTGGTCCCGCTTTGCAATTTCAGATCCTCGGGTTTGCCTTTCCAGTGCTTTACAAGTCACCAAAGGAAGCCTCTTTGCTCTGTCAATTCACTGGTATGTAGTTAACTATGTGTCAGTGACTGTGTATTTCAGAATGCATCGTCTCTCCTTTTGGGTATGCAATATTCACCATTTTTGAGGGTTGGCTCAGGGAATGTCCAATACTCGTGATCCAAATCGAAGCATGGCAGTGAAGGTACGTCGGAATATTGTTTTTTTCGGTGTTAAATTTTCGTTTCATTTCCCTTTCTATTGGGTTCTTGTGTACCTTCTTGACAATTATATTTCAAACTTCATAGCACATTCATTCTTCCCCTTTTATTTTGAGATCATTATCTTATTGCTCTGCTTTAGCATCAATTTTCCTCGTATTCAATCACTGTATGCTCATGTGTGTAATTGATGTAAAGACTTTTTGAATAAGGTTCAGTGGTTCGGCAGCATTATGATAACGCAGTTTCGGCTTACTATGAACCAATAATAAGACGGCGTACAAATGGTCATGGTATATTTTGAAATCTGCCAACTAATAAATTGAAGGTGGTACTTAAAAGTTAGTAGCTGTTGTACATTTTGTCATTTTGGTGCAAGCAATGGAAGTAGTATAGGTGTAAATAAAATAGTCAAATAGCTTAACAGAAGTAATCAAAACGTGCACGGAGTAACAGCATTTCTAACTTCTGGGCCTTGTTATGCTCAATTTTACTGAGTTGAGTTTGATATTTTTGAGATGTTTTTGTAAATGAAATTATCTGTTATCTGCCAGTTGCTATCTGCTTCATATTTTTTTGTCTTTCCCGGAAAATGTGATTGAAGTTTCACTTTGCAGTCTGCTTCTGGTTCCACGTCCAGTGCAGGGACAAATAGTGCCAGTGTGAAGGAAGAGGAAAAATCTGAGACATATAGTCATAATATGACTGAAGCGATGGGTGCTGGTAGGCTTAATCCTTTGTGATTCTAGTTTGATCGGGAAAAATGTTGTGTGACAAGTTGGGGAAGAAAAGATTTCCTTTTCTTGCTCGAAACTTCATATTTGATTACAAATTTGTTGAGTATATTGTAGTGAAGGATTTCAAATAATTGGAACAAATCTTCGCCATGTTTGTTACAATTTATGATCAGTTCCAGCAGCCTATAAAATCTTCTTATTCATCTATTAGTTTGGGTTAATTGAAGGATGTTAAGACGATGCTCAAGGTCATCCTATTCTTGCATTCTTTGAATTTGTGTTTTTAGATCTTTGATAACTTGGTCCTTCGCAGTTTTGACTTATAGACACGAACTGGGAATGAACTACAACTTCATTCGTCCAGACTTAATTGTAGGATCATGCCTGCAGGTGATTTTTGTCTCAGTGATGGAAAATTGCTGCAATTACGTCCATCTAGTTTGGTCTTCTGACTTTTGGTTTGTCTATGAATTGCTAGACTCCTGAAGATGTTGACAAGCTTCGCGCAATAGGAGTGAAAACTATATGTTGCTTGCAACAGGACCCAGACCTAGAGTATCCTAAATGACTTGTTGAAAGTTCTTTGAGTTTAGGATTATTTGAATATACAATTTCAACCTTTGTGATAGCTACGACTCATCTGATCCAGCAAAATTGCTTCTCTAACGCTACTTCAGATACTTTGGAGTTGATATCAAGGCTATTCAAGAATATGCTGGGTCTTTCAGTGACATTCAACACGTACGGGCTGAGATAAGGTTTGTTATGGAAAAATAATGATATATTTTTATCAACCAGCAAGTCATGATGAATTTAAATAAGTTAGACTGAAAATAGTGGTATTGAGGTCATGTTGGCTGGTCCAAAAAAAAAAAAAAAAAGAGGTCATGTTGAATGTCATGATTTCCTTTTTACCAGAAAAGAAAACGGTTTTCAGAATGATTTCTGCGCAAAAAAATTGTCACTTCATTATTTTTGAAAAATGAAAACTACTGTTACTTGTTATGACAAATTGCAACTCATGAAGAAACTGAAATTTAAGGAATCAATTTGGAGCAAATTACCACTTCATTCCATGGTCTTTGTGCATTAGTGCTCCAGTTGCCAGTGAGCTAATCACTGTTATCTATGTTAAACTTGCCCACATTTGTTCTGTTTCTTAAGTTTTGGCTTCACTCATATCCTACCTTACCATTCTGCTGCAAAATGAATTTACTTTATTTGGGAACTATTTTGGATGAAATTTATCTGTATCATATTATTTTATGTTTTCAAATGGTCATAGAAATGGTTGATGATCTTGTTTACAAAATTGAGGAATTTTGGTTATAAGATTCTGGTTTGCCATCTGCTATTTAGGATCACCATCCAACGGTGATCTAGTTCATTCAGGTAACTTCTGCATGCTTGTATGTGAGATATAGTAATTCAAACATGAAGATAACAAATGTTAATTGGTTTGTTATTTATAAACCTGTATATTGTGAATAAATTTTGAGATGCGATGCTTTCATTCATGGTTAATCTGAACGCCGCATTTATATTTGCCTTCAGATAGAGTAGTTTTATGGCTGTATATCTTACACCTAAATATTTCTTAAATTTCATAGACAAAACCAAAACAATGTCCATGGAATTGATTGTTTTATATGTGCGATTTGCTGTTTTGAATATGTAGGATACGAATGTACCAAAAAGATGGAGTTTGGATAATTTTAGGATTTTCATGGCAGACTAGTTGTCATGCACCTTGCGTCATAGGTTCCCTGATTTGCTATTGTCTATGAGTAAAACTTAGTGTTCCTTTCCATACATGTTTATTATGCATTTTGTGCGTTGATTTGCATTTCAGTTTGTTCTTGTATATGTTATCTAAATAGTGATATCTACTGCATTATTCATGTGCTTCTCTCAACATATCATGGATTTCTTTCCATCATATGATCGTCCAGCTTTGATGCTGCAGGGACTTTGATGCATTTGACTTAAGGATGAGGCTTCCAACTGTAGTTAGCAAATTGTACAAGGCCATAAATCGCAATGGGGGCGTGACATATATACATTGCACTGCTGGACTTGGAAGAGCTCCGGGTGCTGCGGTATGTCCCTGGGTTTAATTTCTGAATTTTAATTCACTCATGTATTTATCCGAACCCATGTTTTTGGAAATGCAGTTGTGAATTGTTAATTTGACTTGTGCTTCACATGTGAACTATTAGGTTTATTGTGGTTGGTTGGCAGCCTATTTTGTCTTGAGTAGAAGAATTACATGACATTTGAATTTGAAACTTATTTCCCTCTTCTCTAGTCATTGCCAATTATGTGCATCATGCTTCAATTAATTTTTTAACCCAGAGACACCCTGCAAACTTTATAGAGTGTTCAAATGTTGAGGCATTGAAGAGTAAGCAAGTTCTTTGCACTGGTGAGAGTTCTTTGTACAGTGAGTGTAGATGATTCTTGTACAGTTAGGAATATCTAGAGGGCACAGGCTTATATTTTTATTTCTTTCAGATACTTAGTCTGGAAAACTTGATTTTGTGGTATGTTTATTTGTCCTCTTGCTTTCAAATGATATATTGATAGTCCTCCCAACTGTCATTTACTAACAATTGTTCTTGTATTTTCAGTTGGCTTATATGTTTTGGATTCAGGGTTATAGACTCGATGAGGCTTATAGACTGCTTCTGGTAACTTTACTGAATCGTTTTTATTTTTTCATGCTTTAAGTAGGTGTATGAGGTTCTTGGTGGAGGATATCTTGCATGGGTCTGACCTTCCAGTATTTTTGATACTTTGGATCAAGCTAAAGTATTTTTTTTTTTTTTTATCTCTCTTTTTTCTTCTTTGGGCTTTTGTTCTAAGCTTCTAAAGCATCAAGAAGTCTCTGCCTATGATTGTTTCCATTTAGGGCATGTTAAGCCTATTTATCCTATTACATTCCTTAAATCAAGGTACATTTAGAAGTGAATTTATAGAAATCGTAATTTCCTAGCATGATGATCATGTAGTGATTCATGGGGTTAGATGAAACACAACTAGGTTGAAATACAACATATGTCTAACTTGTAGATGGCTTGACGGTTCAATCAGCAGTACATCAATTTTCTCTCATATGTTTGATTGCCATCTTAGATAATGATATATTTCCCGGCGTTTCTAATTTCTTAGCTCTAATAATGGTTAATTCTTTTGATTCAGTTTTAGTGAATTTGGTCAAAAGAGGAAAAAATGACAACAGTATATAAATTTATCTTTGAACGTTTTTTTTCCCTCGCAGAGCAAAAGATCATGCTTCCCAAAGTTGGATGCAATAAAAAGTGCAACAGCTGATATTGTGAGTCAATTTGCTCTGCGTTTCTGTTCTTGTATGTTCTTCACAATTCTTGAACTGTGGTGTTTACTTCAGTTTATTTATTTTATTTAATTGTTAACATTCTGATGTCTTTTTCCTTGACCTGAAAGCTTTGTCATTGCTTAATGGTGAAAATTATCTGCTGATTTGAATGAGCACAAACTTCAAGTATGACTTCAAAAGAGCTCTCTAGTCCATTGAAAGTCTTAGGGAGATTTTGCCTAGGAAATCATTGGCTGAAACCAATGAAGAAGCTAGCCTGCTGTGTTCTATAATAGATGTAGGAGGAAAAAGTGCCGGTGGTAAGCATGCTTAACAAAACCTTACACTCCCTTTTTCTCTTCCAATTATTGAAAAAATAATATAAAGAAAATTCTCTTTTGTTTTTGGGCAAACAATGCATAAAATATCCTGGAGTGCCTATCGCAAAACTGCCAAACAATCTCAGTTTGTAAGAATAGATTAACATGCTTCTTGAATTCCTGAAGCATATTACGCATATGTCAGGGGGCCTAGTTATGCTTACTGATGTAAAGGAATGATAAAAAGAAATTTGTTGTATAGCTGGACGACTTCCTCGCTTCACTCAAATAAATTGCTTTATTAGAACCCAAGCTTTTGCCTTGCATGAGGACAAGTGATATGAGATGAGGCGATATTTTCTTGTTTATTTTATTATTGGTTAAAGTATACATTTAGTCCTTTAACTTTGTACAAGGTTACAATTTGGTCCCCTGACTTTTAAAAAGCATACTTTTGGTCCTTTAACTCTAAAATTGTTAAAAAAAAATGATGACATTAAGATCTTAAATGTTGATAAAATATTCTTACATGTTAACATATTAAGCTTAATTTTTAAAACATTCATGATTGTTACAAAAAATCATTATTGAAGCCTAACAATTTTAGGGTTAAAAGACTAAATGTATGTTTTTTAAAGTTAAGGGACCAAATTAAAACCTTATATAAAGTTAAAAGACCAAATATATACTTTAACCATTATTATTTGATGGTGTAATTTCCTTTGCTATTGATGAATTTGTAATTAATAATTAGTACTACCTCTGGTCCTTAATATGAGAGCTAGTTGACTAATTTGAATAGACTAAAGAAGTTTGTTAAGTTAGTTATTTATAATAAATAGGTGTTGTCATCCCCAGAATACCTTTTTAATCATTTGTATTAGTTAGAACTATCATTTGATGGAATCTTTAGCATGTGCAACTAATACAAGGACTATTTTGGAAAAATGAATAAATATGAGAAACAAAGTGGATTGGGATCTTCTATGTAGGACCAAATTAAAAAGTCAAATAGCTTTTATATTAAGAACCGGAGGTAGTATTATTTAGGATTTAATCATTAATTATCAATAGAGGAGCTAGATCATAGGAGTATGTTATTCCCTTATAATGTTTTTGTAAGTTGAAGGTTTCTTATTCGGTTACCTATAAATATGTCTTGAGCCTGATGATACAATTGCTTCTTGATTATCAAGAAATCAAATTAACATTGAATTTTGAGAGTATATTGTTGTCTTAATTATTTCTTTTCCTCTCGTCCTACATCATCAGGTGACTGAGAGTGCAGCATGGAGCTTAAGTATATTGTATCACAATTGTTTTTCTTGACAATCCTGCTTATATAAACATGCATATAGTTTTTACATTCAGACCCAAAAAAAAGTTTTTATGGATTAGTTCATTAACCATCAGTTACTATATGGCAATCAAAGCTTACAGGCCTAAGAAAAAAGCTTGTCATGTTGACGTGGGAAGACAACAAGTGCTCTTCAGTTGAAGTTTCTGGACTTGATATTGGATGGGGCCAGGTGATGGTTGAGTCTTCTTGTTCAGCTTTTAGAGACATCTCAATTGCTTTATTAAAAAATGAGTAGTGCTTCACGTTACCAACTTCTGAGTTGAGCCTGAGAGTTTTGCTTGATGGTGTGTGCAACTTTTCAAAATTAATGTCCTAATGTATAATGGTTAACTTTGGACCATTGAATTGATTTTGACCTGTTTGGATTGACTTCCTAGTTCGTTCTTCTGATTTGCAAAATTACTGCATTTATCTTTTCTCTGCACACCTGTCTGAAGGCACTTACGATGCAAACTATAAAGTGTCATTTCAAATTCTATATATTTCACTTTCATATATATATATATATATATATATATATATATATATGATTTTAGAACCACTTGCTGTGATTGGCCCTGTGATATATCTTTGACCATGTAGACTCACTCAATGTATCCTGATTTTCGTTCAGAGAATGCCCCTGCATTATGATGACAAACAGGGTTTGTGGGTTCTCAAGAGGGAATTACCTGTAAGTCCACTTATCAATTGAACAAATTTGAATATCATGTTTGGTATTTATATTGGTGAAATTACTTGAGGCTCAAGCATTCTCTGAGGTTAAAATAGATAATAAATGTACAGAAAAAAGAAAGGCAGGGGAAAAAAAGGAAACTACCTTGTCAAACTGTCCGATTTTGTTTAGAGCTTCATATCATATTTCCTTGTTTCCATGATTGACGTAGCAACCGAGATCTTAGAAGATTGATGAAGTGTCTGGAATTTGTAATTTTCAGTCGTGAATATCTTCTTAGAAAGCCTTAAAATCTTGACTCATCATTCTTTAGTATTGCTTTAAACCATGAAAGCGCCATATGGCTGAGGTTCTTACAATAGCTGTTTCATTTACTATTACTGTTGACTTTCTAAATTTAGATGCAATTTGATTGTTTGATAGCCAATTATGAAGCCTTAATGTCGAATGAAATAAGTCCCTGTTTTTGAACACTTCAGACGCTTGGGATACTTTATGAAGGTGTATAGTGAAGGGGTAGAAGTCAAATGTTGTATTTACTAGTTCTGGAAATTAGACAATTGTAGACTTGTATTTTATTCATCGAATTGAAGATAAAGTTCCTTGTTGATCTATTTTCCAGGTAGGACACTATGAGTACAAGTACATTGTTGATGGGGAATGGACATGCAATCAGTATGAGCTTATGACCTCTCCCAACAAAGATGGCCATGTCAATAATTTTCTGCAAGTAAGGTTTTACGCTTTAATTATGAAGCTCGTAAATGAAAATTTAACTAATGGATCCAGAACTGAGATGCACACAATTTTTGACATATTTGAATCCGGAAAAGAGCAGGAAGTTACTGAACACCCCCCCCCCCCACACCAAAAGAAAAATGCGTCATTAAATTTACTGTCGAGAGTTCTGTTAACCTTATAAGCCTCACCACATTGTGGGGGTTTTTGTTGAACATGGCAGTATTTTGCCTTGTTGGCTTCACCAGAGAAATTCTTTGGCAGATGAGATCATGGTAAAATTGACAGATCAAACCAACCTTAAACAAATCTATGGGATAGTATTATGTTTTTTAAGTGGGATTCACTTCTTACATGATTGGACATCATTGGTTTAATCTATTAAATTGAAAAATAGGGGTGATCTGCATTAGAATTTATCTCCACTGTACATTTCAAGTCATGACAAGTTTATGCATTGCTTCTGAATTATGAATTTGTTGCTCTTGTCCTCTATGAAAAGGTCATTGATGATACCGACAGTGCTGATGCAGCCCTAAGGGAGAGGTTGATGGGTGATGATCCTGATCTCACAAAGGCCGAACGGCTGAGAATAAGACAGTTTCTTGAAGCTCTTCCTGATGAAGAACCATGAACCATGACCTCACTTATTTATATGTGAAGCATAGTGGATGTATATAGATAAATTGTCTCATGAAGGATGAATTTAAACCTTTTTTTTTTAAAATCCTTTTTTGAGGTTCAAGAAGTCATGAATTTAAACAGGAGACAAAAGCTTTCCGTTGCAAGTATGTTATTGTTTTACTGCATCTATTTCAATCTTAATTACGCCTCATGATAGGTCTGAAATATGTAAAGTAAGACAAGTACAACAGCTCCAGCTTTATTATTCCTTTTGAAATTGTAATAAATTTTCCAGGAAAGCAGCATGGATCTATGGCTATCTTGTGAAAATATGTTAGTGCTCTATAACAAAGACATATTGTTAGGTTTTTTTTTTCAGTTGGCTTGTTTGTCATCTGGTCTCTTTATAATTACAATATATCATAATTTTTTTGGGTATTATTTTAAGCAGAAAAGGTTCATCTGGCCACAGGCACTTGATCATGTTAGCAGTTAAAGATGAATTTTAATACTCAATTTAGACAAAATACAAAACTATGGGCTATGTTTTTTGGTAATTAGGGGGAGCTTTCGCTTTTAGTAGCGCAATAAGTATTTTTTGATGAGTAGAGACTATTTGTCTTCCGTATTGACAGGAAAGGATCCTAAGGCTTTTAAGTTTTCTGTTGGGGGGGGGGGTGCTCTTATTTTTGTCAATGATAATCCCTTGGGTTTGATACAGGAGATAGGTAACCAATTTACCTATGTTAAAATGTGCTTTAGTTTTAGTTTTTTTTCCGGGTAAGATGTGTTTTAATTTTTTTTTTTAAAGTATTACTGGGTTTTTCAAACATTTAGTCAGGGGTTTGATTCATGGTGATATGTATAAAGAAGGTTTTGTGATTAGTAACCCTTTTGAAAAGTTTACATGATGAGAGGATTAGTTCGACTATTGTCAGTGGATATGTTAGGTTTAACCCAAAAAAAAAAAAAGTATCACTCTTAAATTACTTGTATTGGAAACTGTGTTTTTAATGAAATTTTTTTAATGTATACAATCAATAAGAGAATTTTAAAAAAATATTAAATTTAAGAGATAAAATGAATTGAGATTTTATATTTAGAATAAAATAAATTTGTCTATTAGATTTTATATTTAGAATTGAGAGGATAGAAAATATTACTTTCAATTTTTAATGTACGAGTTAGTTGATTAATTTAAGTAGATTAGGAGAGTTTGTTAAGTTATTTATTTGTAATAAATAGATGTTGTCTTCTATAAAATATTCTTGCTAATGACATGTATTAGTTATAACTACCATTTGATGAAACCTTTAACATGTGTGATTATTACAAGAACTACTTTAAAAAATAAATAAATATACTACCTCCGGTCCTAATTATAAGAGCCAGTTGATTAATTTGATAAAATTAAGAAAGTAAGTTGAGTTAGTTATTTATCCTAAATAGGTGTTGTCTTTCCTAAAATATCTTTACCAATCAAGTGTATTGACTAGAACTATCATTATTAAAAGGGCTACTTTGAAAAAAAATATATAAATATGAGAGACAAAATGGATTGGGGTCTTATATTTATGACCAAAATAAAAGTCAAACAGGGTCTTATATTAAGAACCAGAGGTAGTAAGAGATAAAGTGAACTGAAATTTTATATTTAGGATCAAATTAAATATCAAATTAGTTCTAAATATAGTAATTATGAAACTATTCTACATGTTTTTTTTTTTAACCGGCAACTATGCTACATGTTTTAGTTGTTTGCAAGTGTTGATTACAAATACATATAGATGTGAAATGAATTAAAATTTATGTAATATGAAACATAGTTTACTCCAACTGCATTATTTGTTCTCTTTTGGACGACAATGAATTTGTGTCTTTATTGATGATGACAATGACATAGAGTTGTAATTATCCCAAAAAGTGGGGAAATGAAAAGGACAATAATGATATACTTGTTGGAGAAAAAGAACAAAGTACATAAATGATTCCCATATGAAATAATTAAAATATCTGACAAAATTTTGGGACCTCTTTGCCATAAATGATTTCGTTATCGCCAATGATGCAGCCCTCTGGTTTTATTAATGGACCTACGCCCCTCCCATACCATATGCATAAATATGTTCTATTTAATAATTTAATTAATTTTTATGGCCTAAATATTTTGATTAGTAATAAAATAAAATTTTCACGTACTAAATCAACCATGATAAAAAAAATTCCTTTGATTTGTTTAAAATATAAAAGATTTCATGACATTTTATAAGCATGCAAAAATTTAATCTCGGTTTTTCCCCCTGCTTTTGGCCTAAATATTGAGCTTACAATCATTTGGCTCGCTAAATGATTTAATTAACTAAAAGGATGGGAAATTAAGACAATTAAATAAAATTATGTATATTTTCAATAATTATTTATATAAATTGAATCAGGGGAAGGAAAACAAGAGTCCTCACAAAAAAGGGTTGAAGTGCCATATATATTCTACTGTGTGTAATATATTATCAATAATGTGCAACAATTATTAATACAGAAGTTATTTGCACACAACAGAAAATATGTTGCACACAGCGGAAGATATGTTATACTCAAAGATCATACTTACATATGTTCAAATTCATATTCTTTTAACCAATTAAATTTTCAAATAGAGATTTTTTACCAATTTTTTCAAAATTTTTTGATCCAAAATATAAGAGGTTGATGGAATAATTAATAATAGTTTTTTTTTTTGGTTATAAAAGAGGAGTAAGAGTTAAATTTAGGAGAAAGAGGAGAAAATTCTCCAACCGCATTTTTAAATAAGAGCAAAATAAATAACTTTATCAATTTAAAACATATTTATTGACTTTACTGAGTTTTTTGGTTTGTGAGAAAACTTGATTAAGGTCTTATATTACAAATATATTTTAATTAATTCATCATAATTAAGAAATGATATTAAATAAAGTTATGAAAGGGAGAAAAAAAAGAGAAAGAGTTAATCATTAATTATAAGGACAAAATTGACACATACTACCTCTACTTCTGATTTTTAATATAAGATTTAATTGACTAATTTAAGGAGATTAAAAAAGTTAATAAATTATGTTAAAGTAGTTATATGTATAATTTTTCTTCAAACTAATTTGCTTTACCTATAAATTTGATATAATTTAACTATACATATAAATATTTTTAGAGAAATTACGTAACATATGATATAGGAAAATTGGGGAAAACAACCTAATTGAAACTATAATTGGTACATGGGACTTCAAACTTTTTATTTGATATGCATACATCATTACACTATTAATTTACTAAAATGTCCTTAAAAAATTAAGAAGAAAAAAGGGCTTCCAATCCCAAGTTTCCTCATCCTTGAAACTTCCGGCCACTCGCACCAAAACCAACAACTCACACTCATTCCTCACTCAAAGCCATGAAACAAGCATCAGAAATGAAAACCATCGAACAGTAAAATCTAAACCATAGGAAATTGAAACCGCTGAGCAACATAAATCAAAAAAATCCAAAGACAGTGAATATCAAACACAGATCTGCGAATGATTTGAAGATGGCAGCTATAGAAGATTATTGTAGAAATTGTGAGCTTTATGAATATTGATGACCATAATAGATGCGAGATCCACTGGGGGACACTCGAATCCAAAGACCTACAAATTAGTTGTTCAAACGGGGTGATATATTATCTGTATGTGCAAATGAAAATCCCTCTAAGTATAATTGATCTTTCATTGTATTCGCCTAAAGCTAAGTGCAATCAAACTTCAATAGCGCGTAACATATCATCTATATGTGCAAATAAAATCCTTTTAAATGCAATTGATCTTCTATTATGTTTCCTAAAGTTAGGTGCAACCAAACTTCAATAGAGTGCAACATATCATCTGTATGCGTAAATGAAAATCTCTTTAAGTACAATTGATCTTCCATTATATTCACCTAAAATCAGGTGCAATCAAATTTCAATAAAGTGCAACACATCATCCATATATGCAAATGAAAATCTCTCTAAGTACAACTGATCTTCCATCGTGTTCGCCTAAGGTTAGATCTAACCAAACTCCAATAGAGTACAACACATCATTCATATGTGTAAATGAAAATCTCTTTAAGTGCAATTAATCTTCCATTGTGTTTACCTAAGACTAAGTGCAAACAAACTTCAATAGAATACAACACACCATCTATATGTACAAATAAAAATCCCTCTAAATGAATTGATTTTCCATTCTGTTTCCTAAGACCAGGTGCAATCAGACTTCAATAGAGTGCAACATATTATTTGTATGTGCAAATGAAAATTTCTTTAAGTACAATTGATCTTCCATTATATTCACTTAAAGGTATTTTGGTCTTTTCTCTTATAATACCTATTTAGACTAAATGATCTCAGCCTCTCACAAATTTGTAGGGACCAATTCCCAAATAAATTTCTAAACTAGTATTTTTTCCCCAAATTTTCTTATGATATAATTAAGTAATTTAGTAATTTTTTTAAATTTTTTTAAATTAGTCAATAGAATCTTATGTTTAAGATCAAAAGATAGTAATCATTAATTATTTTTTAAGTCACTTATATTTTATACCAAACCATTCTTGTACTAACAACTTATATCAATGTATTAACCATATACTCCAGTATCATATATCGATATGCACACCCCCTCCTGTGATAATTATAGGACACTTTTTTAAAGCCCCACATGACCTTAAATATAGGGCAAATATTAGGTAGTTCAGTTTTTTTTCCATTCTTGTCTCTCCTTAATTACAACAAGTCGTTTGCATGCTTTAGATTCTTAGAGAGTATTATTAATTTAAATGACGAGTTAAATTGAAAACTCATATTTTATTACAAATTTAAGGATGTAAACCCCCATTCACTTAGAGCTGTGAAATTTTAAGATTATTGCTCTCACCCTATCATAGTTTGATAATAAATATCCTAGGTTCATACTGTCCATGTCTTGTTTCAATTCAATGTAAATATATGAGACCCACCGTAATCATATTAAATTAAATCTAAAATCAGAACATTTTTTAATATTTAAAATCAACTATGTCTCCTTTTTGAAATGAATCATATCATAAGAGAGTGTTCTAATCTTTGTTTTCCTTTGGAGAATTTTTTATAATTTATTAACTACTCAATAATAATTTACTATAAAATAAATACGACGATAAGAATAGAAATATGTTTAATGTCGACTGTTCTTAAAACAATTCTGGCGGCTGGTTATTAACTAGAAGTTTTCTGGGGACCCTGGGCCATATTAGACCACCATGAATAATTGGTGCATTAACATCTATGTAATAAATATGTATCAATAAATATACTTACAAGGTTTAGCTAAGTCACATCAT